GAGAATTTAGCTCATATTTTATTAAACCAATCTGCAGCTATCGCAGTTGACTCAGAAACTTGGCAGGTCGTCTTGAAATGGGTACTTTTTAATTCATTATTTACCATTTCCAACTGATGCATGCGCTCATAAATATAACTGTGCGTTTGTGTGTAGTGCCTCTGAAATCTACAAAGATAAGCCAGAGGATGTGCCCAGGCATTGTGTCAGTCGGTGTGTGTGTGTGTGTGTTTTAATTTGGATCCCCAGGTCCGCATTCAATCCATATTTTTCTTTTATTTGGTCACTAATGAGGCTTCTTTCTCAGTTCAAAGAAAAGAAAGTACTTTCAAGTATCATTGCAACTCTGGGGCTTGTTTATCAGCATCATTATTAAGTCATTGAGAGAAGACAGTTTATGTTGCATCATTTATTGCATTAGCCTCCAAACAATATTCGCTGCAGGACCGGCGGACAGGTTAAGGCTGCTGCACCTCTTGACTTCTCACTCTGAGTGACTGCGAAATGACCTCTTTAGTTGTAATGTGGCAAAGTAGCAGCCGAAGCTCAATGATTCATGCAGTAATAGCTTTACCGCTTCCTCTCAGCGTGTAGGGCCGGTTGTTTTCACATGCCCATTATGCATGCTTGTTGATGCCTCCAGACATGCCCCCCCACCACCACCACCCCTCCTTCATTTTCAGCCTCCTTGATGTTGCACTGAATTGCGTGAGCCAACTTTGACCCTTGATGTTTCTTTGAAGAGGCCGTTGAAATAAGCTTGTTCTCTCACATTTCTCTGCAGACAAGCCTGGACCAGAGGCGCTTTATCTTATATGTCAGTGTGACACACCGGCAGCCAGGGTAGCTTTCCATGTGTAGCTTTTGTGTGTGCCAGCATTCTTGAATAACACTGCAGCAGTGCTGACAAAATAGTTACCGACCTCACCTCAGAATCCTTACACACTCACACACACTCACACACACACACACTCACACACACTTCCTTTCTCTTTATAGATTCAAAGCCAGTCTTCTCTGGCTCCTTTGTTCCCCACTCCAGGCTGGGCTCAGATCCTCTCTGCTCTCTGTAAGCCCGCTCCGCTCTGTCATCAGGATTACAGGCTGTGCTGTAGCAGATTAATGACTGACAACGCTACACTCCTCTCAGCATTGCACGGCACACACAGAGCAACCAGGATGGAGCGTGTGCCCGGTTGTGAGGGAGAGAGGAACAACTGCGGGGGAGATAATGCATTGTGTTGGTCTGAGAACAATATGTTAGCTGTGAGATTGGATGTGAGTGCCTGTGTGCGTGTGTGTAGTTGCGAGAATGTGTGCAGTTGCGTATGCGGCCGAGTTTGTGTTTGTGAATTTGTTGCTTATATGCACGTGCAGAGCGAGCTTTTCGGCTTCTACACGGCAGTGCAGTCATGTCAGTGAACATTGGGGGGTAGTGATGTGCGATACTGCAGATTTTGGTGTTGATCCAATAAGTATATACAGGGCCAGTATTGGCGATACCAGTACCAATACTTTTAACTTAATAAACTTATGGGGAGAGCAGTGTGTCATGACTTATGAGATGAATCATCATCGGTTTGTAAACTCTGAACAAACTTTAATGACCACTAAACCACTGATGTAACATTTTAAATTGTATTAATACAATGTCTGGCACATGTCTGTTCACAGTAAAGGAAGAATTCCAATGAACAGGGAAACACATGACAAAAAGACCCCAAAACAAAAAATAAAAATCTTTTGGAGATCTGCAAATGTGGCTGTCTGTGAAGCACTTCTGGTTAAAATGTTTTACATTAATAAAACATTATTTAGACATTTTTCATAGTGCATGTTTTAAGTATATTTTCTTTACCCCCACCCCCCACCCCCAAAGAAAAAAAGGAATAGAGGATAGAAACAAAGTATTGATCCTACCGCATTAGTATCGATCCAATACCAATACCACCACTGGCATTGCTACTATTGATTTGGATCAATCTGCCCACCTCTACTGGGAGTTTAAAACTGCTTAAAACAGTGTGTGTCTGCACTTATCTGTGCATATGTACATATATACTCTTGTCTTGAGCGAGTGGGGGGGAGGATGCAGCAGATACGTGTCCGGTACATAAAGAGCTGTGGACGTCCTGAAATATCCTGAAACAGCTTTCCCCTCCAATAACTCTCCCCTGCAGACACAAAGCACAGTCTGTGTCTAACTGCTTTGTTCGAGGCAAAGTGGAAACTGCCAGTTGTTGTGCAAATCCAAACAAGCAGGCAAACAAAACTGAGAGCTAACGCTAGAACTCCGAAGTTTGGAATAAATTAGGCCAGGATCTCACACCACCTCAGAGCCTCGCAGAAGCAGCTTATGTGTGTCATGAATTACTAAGTAGTAATATTTGGGGCTTCTCACAGCCATCAAACAGCTGAGGCTTAATTTCCCGAGACTTGCCCTGGAGTGTCCACAAAAGTGGGCTGTCGGAGCTGCCATCTGAGGACTGAAGACTCGCCTCTTTTTGATGTCTTAGAAATGTTCCTAGAAGTCAACAGTGATTGTTTCTTAGAAGTGAGAAATGCCTAATAATAATCAGTGATACCCATGCTCCATTCTTAAATGACTTCATTCATTTTCTCTGCTCGGCTAACACATTTAAATATTACAATTTCATTGAAATTATTTGAAAACTGGGGGTAACTAAATTAGTGAGATGTTGCATATAAAAGATACAATGCACTTCTAAAGCACAACACATAGTTGTTGTTGTTGTGTGTGTGTGTGTGTGTGTGTGTGTGTGTGTGTGTGTGTGTGTGTGTGTGTGTGTGTGTGTGTGTGTGTGTGTGTAGTAATTTATCTGTCTGGACATATATTTATATATATTTCATCTCAAAAATATGATTTTCTAGACTGAACAGAGCCTCACACATCCACATATAGCACTTTCATACAGCTACTCAGCACATCCGTATAATTGCAACACACACACACACAAATACACACATTTTCATATCTTAGTGAGGACATCTAATCATAACTCAATCGTAACCCTGACACTAGAACCAAATATGTCTTTTTCCCTCTTCTTATTCCTCTTTTTAACATAATTATTATTTATTTATTGTTGGGTTTTTGTTAGTGTTGTTGGCAGTGCTTTGTCTCCACACACCATCCTGTTGTATGTTTGTTGTTTTACAATAAAATGTAAATTTCAATTATGTTATGGCTTAAAGCTGTGCATTATTAGGGGAGTGGTGGCTTGGTGTGACAGACTGGTGCGAAAGTAAGGGGATTGTGTCAATGCCAGCAGCTTTTTTGATTCACTAAACTGGACTTCTCCACTGTCCATGTGTTTTTTGTGCCATTTGGAGCTACATTTGTTTGAGAGTCAATATGGATACCTGTCAAATTAGCAACAACAGCAGTCCCTTAACTCTGTAATGCAGTTTTTCCCTTCACGGAATAAAATTCAGTTTTTATTTTAGTTACAGAACATGTTAGCACTGATCGGGTAATTCTGTGTCTGAGTGATGCAGCTTGCTGATAAGGCACCTCTCATTCAAATATAAACTGCTGAAAAAAATTGAAGATCTCAATGGGGGAAGAAATCATGCTTGATATTTACACAAATATGGACTGGGTAATGTGTTTGGAATGAAAGGATGTCAGATGGAATTGATTTGGTGGAAGTGGTGGAGCTGCTAGTTTTGGTATTCTATGGCAAATGCCAGTCGGGCTCCATTGTACTGGGCAGCTAACACAGAGGATATCAGTCTGTTTCTGATTGTTTGGTCAGAGACATTGACACCTGTAGCCTGCTGGAGGTCATTTTGTATCTCTGCCATTGCTCATCCTCTCCCTCCTTACATAAGTTCGCAAATGCCAGTCTGCTGATGGGTTATAAATAGTAGTAATAGCCTGTCTCCTGGAATCTCCAGAAATCCATGCTCTTGAGACTGTGCTGGGAGACCCAGCAAACGTTCTGGCAATGTTAAATGTTGAATTATCTGATCGTACTGCAACCTGTCCAGGTATAGCCTGTAATCTAAACTGTAATCTCTGTAGAGTATCATTTTGAAACTTCAAACATATGGGGGATGTCACAGTGACTATCATTTATACACAGTCTATGACTCAACTCCCAAACCGGACACTGCTACTTACGCTAAAGTGAAAACCATACACACAATAATTCCACTGTGCACTGTGATGGGCAAAAAGCACACTGAAGTCTGAATGACAAGAGATACCAAGGAGCTGTGGTAAAATACTTTTATTTAGCAGTAATCCATATCTGAAATATAGCATCCAAGCAAAACAGCTCTGACATATACAGAACTCAACTCACCATTCTCTCAAGTCATATATGCCTTTATTTATGTAAATATGTCGATTTATTTGCTCTTCTGTGTGTTGGCATGTGTGCATGTAGACACATGTAGTGTCTTTTTTTTATTTTCATCAATTACATTATAATAAAACTTTTAAATACAGGTCATAATAATTCTCTCACTCTCTCTTTTTTTAAATGTCTCTGGATATAAAAGCTGGTGTTCTGACCCTCATTAGTCCAGTGATGATGATAAGTCCTATTTCTCTTTATCTCTTTGCCCATAAAACTCTGTTCATTACATCATTTATAAATATGCTCCATGGTATCTGCTATACTGCCGCTCGTGCTGTGCCCCTTAGCCGCTATATATTCTTTTTATATCTCCTAATTGCTTCCTAACCGTGAGTCATATTGTGGACTGAACTTTTACTTTTATTTGACTTCAGCACTTTTTACTTCCCTGCACTGGTGTCAGACCTGTGAGTGTTGAAGAGGCATTTTAAGAGCAGTAACAACATGTGCCTCCCAGTCAAACCATTATTTTAGACTCCAGCAGAAACAGCTTAAATTGTAACCTTTGTAGCTCTTTCTCCACCCACAGTTGTACATTTGCATTTTAATCCACCCGTTCATTTAACATTTGTCCCTTTAAACAAATCTCTGCAGGTAATCTTTTTTTCTTTGTTTTTTTTTTTTTTTTTAAGATCGTTACTCAGTGCATTATAGTATAAAAATGTCTCCATCCTCTCGGTGTTCAGAGGAACCAGAAGCACTTCTTCCGGTTCTTCTTGGTGGTGGCAGGGGGTCGCACTGGTTGTGGGGAGTCCTGTTGGTGAGGTGTCGTGGGCTGGGGTGTGGGTGTCTGTGGCGAGCCTTCTGGAGGGTCGCCCACCTTCCACGTGCGTACAACCTGCCCTTCCTGCAGACGAAAGTCATGCTCTACACTGGAGATAGAAAGGGAAACATAGGCAGTTCAGAAAAGTGTCCGTAATTCACATTTAGACCTGCAATAACTGACTTGATGGCCATGTGGGGGCAGCAGAAACAACCAGTGAACGCAACATATGACCTCTAAAGTTGGCTGCACGACCTTGATGGCAATTATTTGGAAACAATACATTAAGCTGAAACTCACTTGCTGAGGTTTCATAAAGCAGAGGGGAGCTTGCCCCGGCCCCCCCATGGGCTCGACCAAATGTGTTGTGCTAAATTACACAACTGGTACTTAAACCTGCTTTAAACAGCGTGATTTACCGGAAAGAACGCGTACGACAAAGCATCAAACTGAAGCAAGAAGGAGATAATGAGACCCACATCTACAACTTCCTCGCAGACAATAATGAATCTGTTGACAAAGTGAATCAAGCGCTAAAATGCTGAGGATGGCAGAAATGTCGCAGCACCAGCACTGATCCCCAGGACTGCAGTTGACACGCGCTCCAAAGGAAAAGTCAGCAAAGGTGCATTGTCAGTCACATTCAGGTCACATGACCGCGCAGCTCAGGGGCTTGACCGTGAGAATGAGACGTGAACTCTGATGCACCTCTGCAGAACTGTAAAGGTAAAGGTAAGCAATAATAAATGAATGCATGCGCAATAAAGGAATAAGGACAATATTTGCTTACTGAATTACTTTTGTCAGCAGTTACATGTTGGGTAAGCATTTCCCCAATGAACTGATTCTTTCCCCCCTCTCTCTTCTCGTCTCTTTTCTTTTTTTCCCCGCATTTTACTTTGCTGCTATTCTTGCTTATTATGCAGTGGCCTAGTTAGATGGTGTTTCTCATCACAGCACAGATACTGGAAATAAAGAGGACTCCCTCATACATGTGGATACGATGAGAGAAGTGCTGCAGAGGAAGTGAGGAGCACTGAGCTCAGCAGCAGCAGCAGAGGCAGGAACAGCACCAGCAAGGCCAGGAGTTTCCAGGCACGAACAAAGAGGGCTATTGCATTCATATCCATCTGGCTTTGTAACTCCCACTACCGCAGTCACTCAGCCACTCCACTCTGGATGGCCCACTGGTATTCTAATGCACAGACACAAAAAAAGAAAACAAAAAAAAGCCCCAAAATACAAATGAAACATCAAACTCCAGACAGGAGCACAGCGCAGGTAACGGGTGGGAGTGTGTAAAAAGAGCAGTGAAGCGGATTTCTTCCCTCGTCGATATTTACAGCAGGTAAAAAAAAAAAGTCACTTCAACTAAAGCCCTCTGCGATAGTTGGGACTGCTTCACAGCTGGAAACAAACCTCCAGAGCTGTGTAAAATGAGCCACTAGTCAGTAGAAAAGTATGAGATGGAGACTATGTCTCTATCTGTCTCTGCCAGTTTTTATTGCCCTAAAATGAACAGAGTAAATAAAATGCACCACCAACGTCTCCCTGTTTGTACCAACATACAGCTCGGCTCCCCTATAGAGCTCCCCAGTGGCTCTTGTCTTGCTTCTGCTGTGTTTCTTTCTTGTTTAAATGAATAGCCTCGGTCCACGGTTCTGCGTGATCAAGGCGCATCGTAGGGAACTGTCCACCCTCAACCTTAATTACTGTATCTGCACACTGAGCCCACAAACTGTGGCAGGCAGGAAGCTGTGAACCTAACAGCTCTTTCTCCGTGCTCCTCTTCTGTCCTCCGCTCACGTCTTTGCAAATTTTTAGCTGGAGGCTGCGCCCCGCCACACCTCCAGCCCGTGGGCAATTAGGTGCGTTTTACACACCGTACGATGATGGCCACGCTTTTGAAGCAGAGCGGCAGACTGTGAGCAGAGCTGAGGGTGTTCTTATAGTTGTGGAACTGTAAGCGATAATGTGCGTGCGCCGCCACACTTGAATTTAAAGTGTCAGGAATGATGGCGATGATCAGATCTGATCAGCTTTATGGTGGTAATCACCCACATCTGAGCTCGCCACAATCTCTGGACATTTACAAAAAGATGAGAGAAGAAGCAGATTTACATATGGATGCAGTGATTTTACAGGGCATATAAAATTTGTACATAGCACTGGTCGGTATAATTGTATTACATAGATACACAAAAAACGTGTTATTCAGTAATGAATAAAGGAAAGTCTTCTTTAATATACATATACGTGAGTTAAGTAAAGAACGGTTACATGTTTTTGTTCTTTGGGCTCTGTTCTCTAGCACATTCCTTCTGAAATACAATAATACAGCATCATAAGTGCCGTGTTTCAGCTTTAATTTGTGAAGGTTCACATCAGACAGTCTTTGTTCCAGGCTCTTTCTTTCTTTTTTCCAGCCTGACCTTTTTGTTGACCAGAGGTGTCCATGTCTGTTGTGAAACCTCGTAGGCTGTCTTCTTTTGATCATTTCCAGATCATGCGTGACTCACTGTGCAGTCATAAAGGGCTTGTGCTAATGATTCTCTGTTTTTGCTTTTTGCGTTTTTGCGTTTTTGTTTTTTTTATGTTTTAAAGTCTCATTTTTATTTTTATTTGCATGGCCAGTTGAGTACTTCTTATACAATAACAATCATAGCCTTGCCTCTAACTTTGTCTCCAAACAACCTGAGCTGTCCCTCTGATGTACTCATTTCTAATTTTGTCCCTCTTGGTCATTCCCAACAAAAAATCTCCAAACCATATATCATAGCAGTTCTCACTATATGAGATCTACAGTTTTGTTTATTCTTTTATCACTTTGGCGGTGTGTTTGAAATCATTATCATACTGAAAATTGAAGATGTTGCTAATCAGACACTTGCACAATGCATCACGGATCAAAAACCATATTGCATTGATAATTCTATACATTTTGACAAGATCCCCAATGCAACTACATGTAAGTCATTGTCTAAGGAGCATCTAAAGAAAGAAAAGCTTCTGAAGTTCTTTAAGTTTCCTTGAAGACTTTTCACCTCTCATCCAAGAAGCTTCTTCAGTTCCAAGAGCAATGAATGTAATGACATTTATTAGTGACTGAAACAACAGACATCCGAGTTTCTGTGTCAACATCAAAGCCCGTCGAAAGTCTACTGAGATCACGTAAAAAATATGATATTTCACATTGTTAAAGTGTAAGTATGCCGTTCATTCCCACTGAGTGACCTTACTTTGCACATGCTGGTCCAATCCTAACAGATTTATTGTAGAAACTGCCTTTTATAAGCATTCAGTTTGGGAGACAGTGACCTTGCCAAAGAGCACTACCACAGCGCATCTCTACAGGGGATTGAATCAGCATATTTGTAGTTACAGAATTCAAGGTTGTTTCCATCAACTACTTGAAAAATTAACAGCAAATTAGGTAGAATGATTGAAATGCTCTTAACAATTTTATTAACACTATCAGACTATCAGTCGGATGAAATTCCAGTTGGAAAAGCAGACGATGCTTGGCTGCGTGTTTGACACTTTCTGTAAATGAGTGTGTTACGGAGTCAGGTTGAATATGATTTAAAAAACTGACAAGGTAAAAATAATATTTTATAACCACAATTTAAAAATATATATATAGGCATAGAGATTGGACACTACTTCATCTCTTTTTCATCCTTCCATCTATAAAACATTCATTCAAGTGCACCAGCAGGAGATCATCATTCCTTCTCTATCTCTCCTCTGTGGTTTTGCTGAGTAGTGGTGGAGAGACATTGGGCAGAAATATAGCAGCGTAAAGGCAATCAACTCGAAATATCTTTGCAATTTTCGCTCCTATGTACTGAATATCCCTCAAGAAAAAAGAAAGAAAAAGCCCCGAACATTTCCTTACGACAGGGTTTGATGAACAGGCAGTCTCTGTGTGAGAGCCAAGTGTTGAGCCACCACACCCACAGATGCAAAACAAAAGATAAACGTATATGCACACACACACATATACACTCTTACAAAACCTTGATACGCACAGATAATCTGTAATATTAGTACTCAGGAGAACAGGCTGCACCATGAGGTAATATTGTTCTGAGATGGCCTCATCATCTGCTTTGCTGTCACAGAGTGTCCCAAACTGTGGTCGTTTACTTTTAAAGGCCCCTCTTTTCCTTTTGGATTAACATTCAGATTGAACTGACTTAGTAATGGGATATAAACAGACAGAGTGTTAGGAGTGTCCAAGGCAGTTGTTTGAATCTAGCATTTCATTCTCCCTTAAGGTGGTAATTTATCCAGCCTGGTGTGATTTGTTGAGCACGTCTATTTCAGTAAACCATTAACTATGATGAGGGATCTTGAATTCAATCTTTCCCAGACACTGACCCATGTACTGCTGCTTGTATATGTATATACTTTTACAATATTGTGTTTGACCCATGTTTCTGGTGTAACTACACCACATGTCTGTTTTGGTTTTTCTCTTGAAGCAGAGAGTAACGTAATGCTTATAATTAATATAGGAACTAGAGGTGTATTAAATGGGAATATTTAGCACTGAGAAATACTGTACAAGTCATTCAAGATCTTCGAGTCAAATGAACGACAAGCACGAGTATCTAGGATCATCACTTAGAAATACTGCATAGAAAGTGCAATTGAATTTTGCAAGGCTGTAATAAGTAAGTAAGCAAATAAGTAATAATAACAATATGATGATACCAGGTTTTTTAGCGGATGATCTAATGTTACTGGCGATGGGGCCGATGTCAGTGCCAAACACTAGATCCTAAGTTTTACTACAACTGAGATGGATAAAATCTGAATACAACCAATTAGCAATGGCAGAGAAGCATTAATTGAAGTAGGAAATGCTGTTTCTGTTGTTGGGCTAAACAGAAAAAGCATAACTGTGTATCATCTGCATAGAAATAGTAGGCATAGAAAGAACAGGTGATACCTTTAAATCTATTTAATAGATGGCCCAAGGGTAACACATATAAACAAAAAAGAATTAAGCTCTGATGAGGACAGCAGATGAGGATGAAGGATGTGTCCCACAAGTATGATGAAAACTATTTGAGACCAGTCAGTAGGAAGTCAATAGTGAAG